AACCCCTGATCTCAAGTGATTCACCTGCCGCAGATTCCCAAAACTCTAGGATTATAGGCACGAGCTGCCATGCCCAACCATTATTATTTTAAATAGTTTTGTCTTTTAGTTCTTAGTAAACATATAAGTGGTTGAAGCATGATTCCAGGGTAAATGTAACAACCACGTTAGTGTCCATTCCTTTCAGTATGCAGAAGTGAAGTGTGTTGTATTGATATATGGGAAGAGGTTATTGTTGCAGGTATGTTAAACATCTTAAATTATAGCACAATAATGAAACTTAAAATTTCCATAACCTGGCCAGGTGCAGTGGCTGACACCTGTAATTCCAGCACTGGGATGCCGAGCTGGGCAGATGACCTGAGGTCAGGAGTTCAGAACCAGCCTGGGTAGCATGGTGAAACTTCATCTCTACTAAATTTACAAAAATTACCCAGGTGCAGTGGTGGGCAGCTGTAATCCCAGCTACTCAGGAGGCTCAGGCAGGAGACTCGCTTGAACCCGGGAGGTGGAGGTTGCAGTGAGCCGAGATCGCACCATTGCACTCCAGCCTGGGAGACAGAGCGAGACTCTGTGTCCAAAAACAAAAAAAACAAAAAAATTCCATAACCTGCAAAAACTACTTCTTCTCCAGCAGAACTTTTTAAATTTATGTCAGAGTTATTTTTGTGTATGTTGCATTTCTGTTAACATATATGTACAGTGTTTTTTCATACCTTTTCATTTTAAATAATATGAAAAAAAGTTTAGTTATGAAGAAAAGGTATACGTATGCAAGTTTCTGTATCTGTCCTTTATTAGGTAGTTAATTTATGTGTTTATGAGACAGAGGTTTGCTCTTGTCATCTAGGCTGAAGTGCAATGCTGCAATCTTGGCTCATCACAACCTCCACCTCCTGGGGTCAACCGATTCTCCTGCCTAAGCCTCTTGAGTAGCTGGGATTACAGGCATGTGCCACCACACCCAGCTAATTTTGTATTTTCAGTAGAGACAGGGTTTCTCCTTGTTGACCAGGCTGGTCTTGAACTCTTGACCCCAGGTGATCTGCCTGACTTGTCCTCCCAAAGTGCTGGGATTATAGGCGTGAACCACCACGCCCGGCCTACCTGTTTTTTTATTTACCTTTACTGGAGAGCTTTATATATGTTTGTGGGTTGGAGTTACTCTTTAGCTTTCTGTCATTTATTTATTTTTTTCATTGAGACACAGTCTCAGTCTGTCACTCAGGCTAAAGTGCAGTGCTGTGATCTTGGGTCACTGTAGCCTCCACTTCCCAGGTTCAAGCGATTCTCCTGCCTCAGCCTCCCAAGTAGCTGGGACTATAGGTGAGTGCCAACATTCCAGGCTAATTTTTTGTATTTTTTTTTTAGCAGAGATGGAGTTTCACCTTGTTAGCTGGGATGGTCTTGATCTCCTGACCTCATTAATCTCGCACCTCACCCTCCCAAAATGCTGGGATTACCATGCCCTACCTGTCTCAAGGTTTTTAAAACATGTTAGTGCTATTTAGATGGCTTCAAGTATTGCAAGATTTATAGTACAGATCCTAAACTTACTTTGTTTAATAAGATTTGTCAGCCTTCGGTGATGTTGATGAGATGCTCCTATTCCTGTCTCTGTCATTTCACTGTCCTGTTAGAAATAGCTTAAACTGGCTGGCCATGGTGGCTCACGCCTCTAATCCTAGCACTTTCGAAGACCAAGGTGGGGAGATTGCTTGAGGTCAGGAGTTTGAGAACAGTCTGCCCAACATGGTGAAACCTCAAATGTACTAAATGCCAAAAATGGGCGGCTCACACTGAAAATCCCAGCACTTTGGGAGGCTGAGATGGGTTGATCACTTGAGGTCAGTAGTTCGAGACAAGCCTGGCCAATATGGTGAAACCCCATCTCTACTAAAACTACAAAAATCAGCTGTGCATGGTGACATGCACCTATAATCCCAGCTACTTGGGAGACTGAGGCAGGAGAATCACCTCAACCTGTGAGGTGGAGGTTGCTGTGATCTGAGATCATGCCACTGCACTCCAGCCTGAGCGATAGCGTGAGACTCTGGGCTGAGGAGGGAGAATCACTTGAGGTAGGATAATCGTGCCACTACACTCCAGCCTGGGTGATAGAGCATGACTCGATCTGAAAAACAACGAAAAAGGAAGTAGCTTAAACTGGGAGGCTTAAGACAGAGGCATTTATTTCTCATGAATTTGGAAAGTGGGAAATTCAAGAGCAAGGTGCCAGCCAAATTGGTTCCTGGTGAGAACCTTCTTCATGGTTTAGCCCAGCCATCTCCCTGCCGTGTCCTGACATGGTGGAAAGAGGAACAGGCAACGAGCTCTTTACTGTCTCTTTATAAATGTGCTGGTCATATTCACGAGTTGTCAACACCCATGACTCAGTCCTCTCAAGGTCTGCATCTGCAGGAACATCCTATTAGAGAATATCAAATCTACCAAAGATTATTTGAAAAGTAGTTATTTATCTTACTTTATTTTTTTGAGATGGAATCTCATCTTGTTGCCTAGGCTAGAGTGCAGTGGCAGGATCTTGGCTCACTGCAACCTCAACCTCCCGGGTTCAAATGATTCCTGCCTCAGACTCCCAAACAGCTGGGATTACAGGCACCTGCCACCACACCCAGCTAATTTTTTTTTTTTTTTGTATTTTTAGTAGAGATGGGGTTTCACCATTTGTTCTAGGCTGGTCTTGAACGTATGATCTCATGATCCACCTGACTCAGCCTATCAAAGTGCTGGGATTACAGGTATGTGCCACCGTGGCTGGCTGTTAGTCAGTTCTTATTCCTTATAATGCTGTGTATTTTCTTCACTTCATACTTCAGAAGGTAGTGATCTTAACACGTATTTCAGTTCTTATGTTGTGTACTGGTGGTAACTACAAGTTTTGGCTTTTTTCTTAAGAGGGAATTGTTTAGAATTCTGTAGGCTGTATAAATCGACTTATTTTCTTTCTTGTTTTATCATGGGTTGCAATATTTTATTGATTTTTATGAGTTTTTGGTGTGTGGTATGCAATATAACTGACACGTTCTCTTCATTAATGTCACAGAGTGCCGCTGGGCACAGTGGCTTGCCTGTAATCCCTAGGACTTTGGGAGGCCAAGATGTGTGGATCACCTGAGGTCAGGAGTTCAAGACTAGCCTGGCCAACATGGTGAAACCCCATCTCTGTTGAAAGTACAAAAATTAGCTGGGCATAGTGGCGCATGCCTGTAATCCCAGGTGCTCGGGAGGCTGAGGCAAGAGACTTGCTTGAACTCAGGAGGCAGAGGTTGCAGTGAACCAAGATTATGCCAGTTGCACTCCAGCCTGGGTGACAGAGTGAGACTCCATATCAAAAAAATAAAAATACAAAAATTTTTTTTTTTTTTTGAGACGGAGTCTCTCTCTGTCGCCCAGGCTGGAGTGCTGTGGCGCAATCTCGGCTCACTGCAAGCTCCGCCTCCCGGGTTCACGCCGTTCTCCTGCCTCAGCCTCCCGAGTAGCTGGGACTACAGGCGCCCGCCACTGCGCCTGGCTAATTTTTTCTATTTTTAGTAGAGACGGGGTTTCACCATGGTCTCGATCTCCTGACCTTGTGATCCGCCCGCCTCGGCCTCCCAAAGTGCTGGGATTACAGGCGTGAGCCACCGCGCCCGGCAAAAAAATGTTTTTAAAAAAGTCACAACGTGCCTGTTCCACATGGATATAGGTAATTTTGTAACAGTTATTCAGAAAGATACGGTATTAAAATTTTCTTTTTTTTTTTTTTTTGAAACAGAGTCTCACTCTGTCACTCAAGGTGGAGTGCAGTGGTGCGATCTCAGCTCACCACAATCTTTGCCTCTCGAGTTCAAGTGATTTTCCTGCCTCATCCTTTCAACTAGCTGGGATTACAGCCACCCGTGACCACGCCCGGTTACATTTTGTATTTTTAGTAGCCACGTTGGCCAGGCTGGTTGAACTTCTAACCTGAGGTGATCTGCCTGCCTCGGCCTCCCAGAGTACTGGGATTACAGGTGCGAGCCACCACCCCCTGCCTTTTTTTATTTTCTGAGACGGAGTCTCACTTTGTCACCCAGGCTGGAGTGCTGTGGTGTGAAGTTGGCTCACTTCAACCTTTGCATCTTGGTTTAAATTGATTCTCAGCCTCCCGAGTAGCCGGGATGACAGGGTGGGCCACCACACCTGGCTAATTTTTGTAATCTTCTCAGTGCTATGATTGTTTGATAATATAGAATTTCCATTGATTTTGATTATCCTTACAAGAGCTTGTTGTGGATTATTTACCAATATAGTACATTGTCTGGTTTTTTAGCATTTATTTGTGTATACTAAATATACTGTATATATGAAGAATATGTATTTTTCTCTTCATTGATGTGACAGTGATATGTTTTTTGCACAGTGTGATACACTTTAGGGTCACAGTGGAAAAATACTCCTTACTTTAGGCTTACACATGTTTGTGCCCTGTGTTTTGTCATGATATTGGAAATAGGCTTCTGTAAAAATGATTTGAAATACATGTAATCGGTCTTTATTTATTAAAGAATGTACTCGTTTTGTGTTCCTAAACTTTGAAGCTCATGTTTGGGAAGTTTAAGTATTTTTTTGTGTGTGATATTTACACATTTCAGTATTATATACCATCTGTACTTAATTGGAAACCTATTGGTGTTTTTATTTTGTAGATATCTCTTCCAAATGCATGATGAATACACTGTTGTCAACAGGGCAAGGCAATACAGAAGTGATCCACACAGGGACATTGCAAAGACAAGCAAGTCATCACATTGGAGATATTTGCTTCCAGGAAATTGGGAAAGATATTCATGACTTTGTGTTTCAGTGGCAAGAAGATGAAACAAATCACCATGAGGCACCCATGACAGAAATAAAAAAGTTGACAGGTAGTACAGACCTATATGATCAAAGGCTTGTTGGAAACAAGCCTATTAAAGATCAGCTTGGATCAAGCTTTCATTTGCATCTGCGAAGACATAGGAGAATTCATACTGGAGAGAAACCTTACAAATGTGAAGAATGTGAGAAAGTTTTCAGTTGCAAATCACATCTTGAAATACATAGGAGAATTCATACTGGAGAGAAACCATACAAATGTAAGGTTTGTGACAAGACTTTTAAGCATGATTCACACCTGGCACAACATACTAGAATTCATAGGGGAGACAAACATTACACATGTAATGAATGTGGCAAGGTTTTTGATCAAAAAGCAACCCTTGCATGTCATCATAGAAGTCATACTGGAGAGAAACCTTACAAGTGTAATGAGTGTGGCAAGACCTTCAGTCAGACGTCACACCTTGTATACCATCATAGACTGCACACTGGAGAGAAACCTTACAAGTGTAATGAGTGTGGCAAGACCTTTGCTCGAAATTCAGTCCTTGTAATTCATAAAGCAGTTCATACTGCAGAGAAACCTTATAAGTGTAATGAATGTGGTAAGGTTTTTAAGCAACGAGCAACGCTTGCAGGACATCGTAGAGTTCATACTGGAGAGAAACCTTACAGATGTGAAGAATGTGACAAACTTTTCAGTCGCAAATCACATCTTGAAAGACATAGGAGGATTCATACTGGAGAGAAACCATACAAATGTAAGGTTTGTGACAAGGCTTTCCGGAGTGATTCACGCCTTGCAGAACATCAGAGAGTTCACACTGGAGAGAGACCTTACACATGTAATGAATGTGGGAAGGTTTTTAGTACAAAAGCATACCTTGCATGTCATCAAAAACTTCATACTGGAGAGAAACTTTACAAATGTGAAGAATGTGACAAAGTTTACATTCGCAAATCACACCTTGAAAGACATAGGAGGATTCATACTGGAGAGAAACCTCACAAGTGTGATGAGTGTGGCAAAGCCTTTAATTCACCTTCACACCTCATTAGGCATCAGAGAATCCATACTGGACAGAAATCTTACAAATGTCGTCAGTGTGGCAAGGTCTTCAGTCTGAGGTCACTCCTTGCAGAACATCAGAAAATTCCTTTTGGAGACAATTGTTTCAAATGCAATGGGTATAGCAAACCGTCAAGCATTAATTGACATTAGAGTCAAATCAGCCTTGACCTGAGTTTGAGTTGACTTAACTTTGAGTTCAAGCATTAATTGACATTAAACTGTTTATGTTAAGAGAATTGGGCCAGGCACGGTGGCTCACACCTGTAATCCCAGCACTTTGAGAGACCAAGACAGGTAGGTCACTTGAGGTCATGAATTTGAGACCAGCCTGGCCAACAGACGGGAGCCACTTATCCCAGCCTGTATGTTCTTTTATTTATTCTTTTAAGATGGAGTCTTGCTCTGTTGCCTATGTTGTAGTAGAGTGATGTTATCTCAGCTCACTGCAACCTCCACCTCCCAGGTTCATGCGATTCTCCTACCTCAGTCTCCCAAATAGCTGGGACTACAGGCTCCCGCCACCATGCCTGGGTAGTTTTTTGTATTTTTAGTAGAGACAGGGTTTCACCATGTTAGCTAGGATGTCTTGATCTTCTGACCTTATGATCTGCCCACCTCCACCTACCAAAGTGCTGAGATTACAGGCGTGAGCCACAGTGCCTGGCCTGTTTTTTTTTTCTTTAACAAAAATTTATAGAAATTTCTCTAAGTATTGTGTTGAATCTAAATCACATTCGGTTATATAATCATTTAGCAATACTATTCCATTCAATATGGCTTGTGTCTCTATTTATACATGTTTTTAATCATTTTGATCAATGTTTGTAGATTGCAAGGTAGAAATTTCTCACCTTTTTATGTTTATTCCTTAGTATTTCTTTCTTTAAGTTCTTTAGCAATTGAAAGTGTTTTTTAAATTTTCTTTTATAATGGTTTATTGTTAATGTATGGAGATTCAACTAGTTTTCGCTGCTGTTATTCTGTTCTGCAAATCCACTGCATATGTTTATTAGTTCCAGTTGCATTTTGGTTGACTCTGTGATTTTCTACACAGAAGATCATGTCATCTACAAACTATTGTAATTTTACTTCTTTCTTTCTGATTTGGGTGAGTTTGATTTCTTTTGCTATTTCATTGCTCTGGCTAGGACAGCCAATATTGATTGAATAGAAGGGGTGAGAGTATTCTTGCATCATGTGAGATCCTACAGGAAAAGCATTCCATTTTCCCTGATTGGTTATTTCCACTGTGGTTGTTTCATGCATAGTCTTTCTATTGTTGAGGTAAATGTCCTTCTGTATCTATTTTGTTTAGGATTTCCATGATGACTGGATGTTGAATTTTGTGAAATGCTTTTTGTCTGTCTACTGAGATGATGTGATTTTCATCTTTCATTCTGTTCAAGTGGTATATCACATTGATTTGCTTGAATATGTTGAACCATCCTTGCATCTCAGAAATAAGTGGCACTTGAATATCTACAATCCCTTTTATATCCTCTTGAATACAGTTTACTAGTACAAGGGGTCTTCAGGAAGTTCATGGAAAAGTACATATTATGAGAAAACTGTGCATGATGTCACATTTTTTGCACCAAAATAAACTGGTACAAATCTGTTATAACATGTCTGAACAGGCTCTAGTTTGAGGAACTCACATGGGTAACACATGAGTTTGAAAAGAGACTCATTCAAAGCAATGTAAATTCTGCTAAAGTTGAAACAAGAAATATCAAATTTATGATGAGACCAGATGCAGTGGCTCAGGCCTATAATACCAGCACTTTCAGAGGCTGAGACAGGTGGGTCACGTGAGCCCCCGGTGCTCAAGACCATCCTGGACAGAATGGTGAAACCCCTTATCTACAAAAAATACATAAATTAGCTGGGCATGGTGGCACATACCTGCTGGTTCAGCTTCTGTGGAGACTGCAGTGGGAGGATGGCTTGAGCCTGGGAGGTCGAGGCTGCAGGGAGCCATGATCATGCCACTGTACTCCAACGTGGATGGCAGAGACAGTGTATCAAAAAGTGAATTTGGTAAAGTTTGAGTAGAGGGACAATGAAATCATTGATACTTTATGAAAAGATTATGGGGACGATGCCTGAAAGAAATCACCGGTTTGTAAATGGATAAGTCTTTTTAAGTTGGGAAAAGACAGTGTTGAAAGTGATGCACAGGCTGGGCATGGTGGCTCACACCTGTAATCCCAGCACTTTGGGAGGCTGAGGCAGGCTGATCATGAGGTCAGGAGATCGAGACCATCCTGGCTAACATGGTGAAACCCTGTCTCTACTAAAAATACAAAAAATTAGCCAGGCATGGTGGTGGGCTCCTGTAGTCCCAGCTACTCGGGAGGCTGAGGTAGGAGAATGTCATGAACCTGGGAGGTGGAGCTTGCAGTGAGTCAAGATCGCGCCACTGCACTCCAGCCTGGGTGACAGGGCAAGGCTCCATCTCAAAAAAAAAAAGAAAGTGATGTACAGAGTGGCAAACAGACCATCCACATCAGTTTTGTAGGTACAACTGTCAGAGAAGACACTGGAGAAGAGCCAAGCTGGGTCTATAAGGAATTGCACATGAGATGGCACACATATTTATGCTGTCTGAGGATCCAGTCATGTTACCATATCAAGCTGAAAATGTCACCACTATCTGGAGAGTTGGACATGTTTTATTGAGAACAAATTTTTTCTCTCTTTATCTGTTATGAACACCTTGGTTGGCTGGGTTCAGTAATAAATATGTGAGACTTTTCATTTTAAAAAAGTCAAATTACCGGGAGGCTGAGGCAGGAGAATGGCGTGAACCCGGGAGGCGGAGCTTGCAGTGAGCTGAGATCCGGCCACTGTACCCCAGCCCGGGCGACAGAGCGAGACTCCGTCTCAAAAAAAAAAAAAAAAAAAAGTCAAATTACTTAATTCTGTAGAGTATTTTAAATTCTGTTTTGTTTTTTTGAGATGGACTCTTCTGAAAATTTTCTCATCTTCTCTAACCCGGTACATGACAGACCTTTGGACTTTACTGTTATGGAAAAATCTATATAAAACAGTATCAGTGTGTCAAAGCATTATGGCTGTCACAAGCTTGTGAAAGGGAAATCAAAATTAAGCTGAAGAGAAAAGTCAATCTGGGAACCGCGTCAGGCAAACCTGCCTTCCATTTTATTCCTAAACAAGATAGCTAAAAATATTTTTTTTAAAAGCTACATATGCCTCTCCCAAACTGGAAGTCTCAAGATCTCCACCCTAAAATAGTTCTGTTGAATTTCACCCTATAAACTAATAGCTTATCTTTCCAGGTGTGGGACAGAACCCATCTCTGCACACCTGAGACAAATGCCTATCTGATTGCTTCACCTGCCCTATAGTGTATGTAAAAACGCAGGGTCACTGAGCCAGTCTAAGGCATAAGTGATTATTCCTCCTCCCCTCTCACATATAAATTGTGTATTTAGTGAAAGGCTGCCCAAAGACTCAAAGAATGTGATGATTTGTTATCTACCTGTGACCCAGAAACTCCCCAATTCCAGTTATTCCACCTTTCCAGACCGGACCAATGTATGTGTGTATTGACTGCCGTCTTGTGTGTCGTAAAATGTGTGAAACCAAACTGCAGCCTAAACGCCTTGGGCACACGTCATCAGGACCTCCTGAGGTTCGTGTTAATTGGCCTTAGAGGCCCCCTGTCCCCAGACCCAGGACACGTGTTTCCTTTTTCTTCATTTCTATTAAAGATGGGTCTCATTCTATTGCCCAGGCATGAGAGCGGTGACAGGATCAGAGCTCACTGAAGCTTCAATCTCCTGGGTTCAAGGGATCCTCCCACCTCAGCCTCCAAAGTACCGAGGAACACAGCCATGTGCCACTGCACTGGGCAAATTTTTGTTTTCCTGGTAGAGATGGGCTTTCATCATGTTGCCCAAGGTGTTCTCAAATTCCAGGGCTTAAGCGATACAGCCATATTAGTCTCCCAAGGTGCTGGCATTACAGCCAGGAGCCACCAGCCCAACGTGTTTCTTAATTAAAAAAAAAAAAAAAAAAAGGCCAGGTGCTGTGGCTCATGCCTGTAATCCCAGCACTTTGGGAGGCCAAGGTGGGTGGATCATCTGAGATCAGGTATTTGAGAACAGCCTGGCTAACATGGTGAATCCTCATCTTGACTATAATATAGAAATTAGGTTGGTGTGGTGGCAAGTGCCTGAAATCACAGCTACTCGGGAGGCTGAGGCAGAAAAATGGCTTGAATTTGGGAGGCAGAGGTTGCAGTGAGCTGAGATCGTGCAACTGCACTCTCGCTGGGCAAGAGCGAGACTCCGTCTCTAAAATAAAATAATATAAATAACTACTTCTCATAAGAGCTTTGGTAGAATCTTATGAGGTCACATCATTGTTTTGCAACTATGACGTGTTCAAAATATTCTTCTATGACTCCACATTTCATTAGATATATATTTTTAACCATTTTAAAATTGTTTTTCTCTGAAATTTATTGTGTTCAGTTTGCATGGAGGACTGCATGCTTTCTAGTCTGTATCGTATATTGGAAACATTTTCTGGTACCTGATAAATGATTTTAGGTTGTTTCAGTGTGTACTTGATAAAGATATCAAGTAACTTTTTCTTTATGCTAACATCAAAATTTAGCTGAAGTAGCCTATTATTCCATTTTCTTTATGTCATCTGATTAAATGGTGAACTGTGAACTGCTAAGTAAATGTTCCCCTCAAGTTCCTCTGATCCATAGTGTTCTTTGCAGATGTTGAAGGATGGGCAGGGTTGACTTGGAACCTTGTTCCAGCAGAGCCCATGTGTTCATGGAGAAAACATTTGCTCAGATCTCATTTGTACTGCTGCCTCTCTTTCCATATTTTAAACACCTATAGCTATGTTTTTACAATTGTGTTTATTTTGAAGGTATTACTCTGATTTTTCTGGGAAAATAATTACATGTTTAGGATTCATGCCATCAGAACCTTAGACATTGAAAGAGGAATTTCATTTGCTCAGCTATATAAAATTGTCCTGGAATTTTTTTTTTTTCTTTTTTTGAGACGGAGTATCACTGGGTCACCCATGCTTTAGTGCAGTGACACAATCTTGGCTCACTGCAACCTCTGCCTCCCAGGCCCAAAGGTCCACCCCAGTCAGCCCCTCAAATGGCTGAGACCACAGATGCACACCACCACACTTGGCTAATTTTTTGTACTTTTGGTAGAGACAGAGTTTCACTGACCCCTGAAATACTTCGCCAAATAGTGTGTGGCTTTTCCTGTAGGAGAGGGTCATGCTCAGCTGTAATTTGAATTTTAAATGGATTCCTGTCCTCCAAAAATGTAAAAATCACAAATACCAGAATGGAAAAAAAATGAGATTAGACTCAAATCATCTTGAACTTATTCTTGTCTCTTTCCACATCCACTGCTTTTCCTTATCTCATCTCACAGCTTTAACCCACCTACCCGTGTCCCCTGCAGGCCTCTCCCCTGAGCTCTACAATCCTGTGTCCAGTTGTCTCCTTAGCTTTCTGCTGGGACATGAAACGGGCATCTCCACCTTCATGTATCCATAAGTGACTTCCTAAACCCCTAAACACATTCCCTTACAGTCCTACACATCTCAGATGAGGGTGACAGTGTACTTCTGGAAGCTTAGCCAAACTTGACAGCATTTATTTTAAGTATGGGAGATAAATTGCATTATCTGTAAGTGTTGTCATTTATTATGTAAAGAGAAATTTCCATGTATACATAAAAGGAATGAGAAAATACAACATTTCCAAACTTCTTTTGAGGTGTGAGAGAAAAATGTTTCAAGACCTCATCCTTATGGATCTGTGCTCCCACGACTCCTCTGACTTCATCTCCTGCCTGGGTCCTCCTGGCTCCCTCTGCTCCAGACACGCAGGCTTTCCTTTTTCTGGGACTGAGGTTTCTTCCGTCTCAGAGCCTTCACTTTCCTTTTTCTGGGACTGAGGTTTCTTCCGTCTCAGAGCCTTCACCTGTGCTGTCCCTCTGCCTAGGACTCTGTGTACTGAGCTGCAAGCATGTACAGTGCTTCCCTTGAAGTTTATTCCTGACATCACTTTTACTATGGAGAACTTTAGTTCTCCCCACAGCCTCCCCATTTGTCAGGCGACAGCTCCACCTTCACTCCCACCTCCTCTGGTCCATGTTGCCTGTTCCGTGTGACTCTGCCCTTTACTGTTCACTGATCCCGGGTGGGAACAAGCCCCAAGCAGAGAGCATTGCACAGGCCAAATGGGCTGGCGCCCTGACTGGAGCTTCAACCTGACTGCATTGAGTTTCCGCGGCATTTGCAAATACATCTTTATGCTGTTTTATCAGAGAGATTGCTATTATCATAGATTTGAACTAATTTCAGCAATATTTACTATGGCACTGTAATTTTATAGGTGGGTCCAGCATTAATGCTTACAAGAAAGCTTCATGAGAGCTGAGATCAGCCTGTGATCCACAGGGAGGTGAGAGGACGCTGTGGTCTGCATGGGGTTTGGTTAGGCTACAATCCAGCCCTGGAAGATCTGTGTCCTGCTGCAGTGTGTGTGTGGACTTTTCCAGGAGGGGAGCAAGATCTGGAAATGGGTCAAAATTAGCCTGC